TATTGACCAATTCATTGTATAATATTCGTAGTTTACCCATGGTTATTTCCCTGGTACTATTCATACCCTCCCCAGCTATCAGGCTCAAGATTGTGGGTATTGGGGGGTTTCCATAGCATAATGTCTATATTTTTATGCAGTAGAGGGTGAGAGGATTCCTTTCATACCAATATCGTCATGATTGGTCTTGTGAAGGTATTCAAAAAAATTACCGCAAATAGTACATCTGGAGAGATCATTCTGAATTTGGAGCAAATATGTTGGGGTGTGAAGATATTTGGCAGTATTCTTCTAAGCACATCAGATATCAAATCAAACCACCATGATTTAAGCTGAGATCATACAAATATGTTATCACTGTAGCACAGTGACCTTTTTTATGGGCTCATATCATATCAACCACATCAGACTGGACTTTTAATATATGCAGTCTATAGTCAGAATGACTTCATGAAGATACCTACGGCCTTTGCTCCAGCTAATGTCAGCAAACCAACCCCACTTACATTTGGCAGGATGGGATTGGTATGGTTTCTTAGTTAATGATGAATTGACAAGGAAACTGATAACCTCTGTCTTACCAGAATATGTTTGTTGATATCATCAAACTTACTATATGTGTGACATTAGCTTGTCCCTTGCAAATTAGTTTTTAATTCCGATAGTATTAAGTAAAGTGTCCTCTGTTACCATAAATTTGTTAAGTAAAGTGTCCTCTGTTACCATTAATTTGTTAAGTAAAGTGTCCTCTGTTACCATTAATTTGTTAAGTAAAGTGTCTTTTGTTACCATTAATTTCTTCATCTTTGTATGCTCCTAATCTGACCTGTATCAAGATGTAGTCTATATTATTATTAATTATTATTAAAATTTCTTTAATTAAAGTGTTAAAATCTTAGTTTAAATATTCCACACAAAAATATCATATAAACCAAGTAATAATCTAGAGCAGTAGTGAACTGCAGGATACACTCAGCTGTCTAAAATTCCTGGTAGGCTACACAGAAGGTGGATTGTAAAATCATTTGCCTTCTGACTAGTTTATGTCATCATTGCTATGCATATGTAATTTATTCATGTGACTGTTGTAGCCTAACATGGTAACAATTTTTTTATATTGGGTTGTATTGAACTCCATGAATACAGGTGATTTTCAAAGGGGAAATTATAGCCATTGATCCAAATTTAATATTGTAGCTTTTGTTTACTGCACCCATTATTTAGCCTTAAGGGGGCTGTCGTAGCGAAATTTTCAAAAATACTCGAAATTTTTCAAAAAAATCTCCTGTAATCTAGTGGGCATTGGCAATCTCATGACATAATATTTTTGCTAAATATGTGAAATTAAAGGAGTTATGACTAAATCTCTAACCTCCCCCCCCCCACTCCGATGTTTACATTGTCACGTCCATGAAAATTTAATTAATTAATTAATTTATTTATTTATTATTATTTTTTTTTAATGTATTTATTTTTTTCGGTTTATTTTGGAATTCTCTGGTAGCTAGATGGCAACTCTGTTTACCCATCAGCTGATCGCCAAGCCTGGGGCTCTGGGAGACAAAACTCCACCAGAAAATCAGAGAGAAAGGTTGTCAGCTCCTACCTCCATAACACCATATTGCAGAGTAGGCCATATAACAAATTAAGGGGACAATACTAACTGTAGATGTTATTCTATTATTTGATAACCGTAATATGATCAGAAATACTCCTTAATCACAGCTGCAATAGTTTTTTATATATTTAAATACCTTACGTGGCCAGGTTAGGTACTGGAAAACCTGTGTTGACAGGCGGTAATTCCACAATTATGTACAGTTATTACCATTAGTACTTTGCAAAAGGAGGGGACAATGTACCAGCTACGCTTCAGAATACCATGTGAATGCAATAGAATGCAGCAAGATTGCCACAGAGATTAGAATTCTAAAAAAATAAAAATAAAATATAATAATAATAATAATAATAATAAAAAAAATAAAAAATAAAAAAACAAGGGAAATCTAAAATTTCGGAGCCCATTATCTCAAAACTACACTTTTGTCAACATTTGTCAGCATTTTAAAAATTTCTCCATAAATGCTTGGGCGATTCTAATGGGGTTTGGATCATTTAAAAGCTGAATATATTTGTGGTGGTTTTCTTAGGGCAATGGCCCCCTTAAGGGCAATGAAGTTGGATTGTTTTATTGTTGGTAGCATGGAGATGTAACTATTTCTTCCCCCAGAAAGAGCAGAAATCCTTCAGAAATACTTTCCAGTGTGGAAACGTTTTTAGTAGCTTTGGTTGTATATGTTTCTTAGCAACAGTAAAAGGATTTCATTTCTGCCAGCAATATGTACTGCAAATACTGCACTGAATATAAACTGAATGGTAACTACATTATGTGAGCTCACCATTTACCTTTCTGACCAAGCTCTTTAGGAATTGCTTATCTTTGATTTTGCTTTTTTGCTTGTAAAGACATTGAAATGTAATAATTAAGAAAGGTCTTTTT